TGCGATCCGTTGCCGGACACGAAAAAAGACAAAAAGGAAAAAAAAAAAAAAAAAGTTTGTTTTGCTCTGAATGCTTTCTGTAGGTATAAGTATACGTTTTATTCTATTGTGGATGCTTTCATAGATCTCAACTGAAAGAAGCCATTACACACTCTTTAAAATAATTTCATCTTTATTAGTAAAAATTTATTGAGCAGCTAGACTATATAAAGCACTAGGAAAAGGAAAGTTTGCCATACAAACACTAACCTCAAAACTGCATTTTAATCAGATTAACAGACCATTCCATTAAAAAAAATCAGTAGGAGAATATAGCCATCTCAAATCCTTTTCAGAAAATAGGTGGTGCATTACTTATCAAGTAATGTAAGGGCACTTGATCTGAAAGCCATACAAGTAATATAGACAAAAATTGCTCTAGGAATTAAGGGAAGGAAGAGGTTGTGGCTGATTGGAACATTCAGGGAAGCCTTATTGATGTACCTAGAGACAAGGTTGAGATCATAAGAATTACCTTGGGTGCTTGTTAAAAATATGATTCCTCGGGCCGGCCCGGTGGCGCACTGGATAAGTGCGCCGCTTGGGAGCGTGGCGGCGCTCCCACCCAAGGGTTCAGATCCCACATACAGACCGGCCGCTCACTGGCTGAGCGAGGCGCGGGAGCGACATTGAGGGTTGCAATCCCGTTGCCGGTTCCCGGTCCGGTGCGGGGGCAACACTGAGGGTTGCGATCCGTTGCCAGACACGGAAAAAGACAAAAAAAAAAAATATATGATTCCTCACATCCAACCTCAGATCAGGAAAGCAGCCTGAGAAGGTGTATTTTTAAATATCCCCTCACTACCACCCCTCTATCCCCGATGATTCTTACTAATAGGAAAGTTTGGTAAATACTGATTTAATTGATCAGAGAGCAAGGATATAAGCAAGGCTTGAAGGTAGGAATATATCTAACTTATTCAGGGCCAATGTTTGAACAGAGCAGGGACTTTTCTTTTTATCTGTGAATAAGTTTTGGAAAGTGGGTGGTGGGTTAGAGGTAAAGTTGTAAAGATAGTTCGAGGTTAATGCCTTCAGTTTTAACTAAGAAATTAGGACATTATCTTGCTGGCAGTGGTTACATATTAAAGTCTTTTCAATCAGGAATTGGCATGTTTACAGTTTTGTTTTGAAACATTAATCTAACAGAGAAACTGAGTGAAATGAAACAATGTGGGAAACGTATATAAATCAGGATTTTTGAAAGCAGAAATGAAGAGAAAAGTGAGGTTCTAAATACTTTTCGAAGGAAGAACTGACAGGATTTGGTGAATGGAAATGGGAGAGACAGAAGTCAATCATAATTTTGTTATATACTTATTTCTTAAAGATGTTGAAAGGAAAGAATATAAATCTCCTTTATTAATATGTATCTTAAAGTTACAAATGGAAAATATGGAAGTGATTTAGTTTTAACAGAAATCATAATTTTAGGGAATACAGTGTACCTGTTATACCACTTACGTTTTTCCTTTTATTTTAGTCATTTATGAATGTTCAGTTTGAATAGTAGAGGGTTTTTTTGTTCACTTTTGTATACCTCAACAGACCTTTGTGCATGCCATGCATATAGTGGGCACTATAGAAATTCTTGTTAAATAATGGGCACTAGATAAATACTTGTTAAGTAATAAATTAAATTGTTTTAATTCTTGAATATCATTTTAAAGATCTCTAGGGAAAAGAATAAGTGGTCAATTTTAGTAACCTTGTAAATTGAAATTGTAGTTACATTGCTGTTACACCTGTTTCAATCTTTGATGTTCCTAACTGCAGAGTCGAAGGAAGCAGTAAAATACAGTATCATATAGAGCAACAGCAGCAACAAATGTGGAATTCAACTAGGACACCCAATCTTGTAAAACATTCTCCATCCGAAGATAAGATGTCCCGAGCATCTCCAATGGATGATATTGAAAGAGGTAAAATCTAAGTGTATATAATGTCCCTTTACAAGAGATAATTAAGAAATCTAAAGTGAAATTTTTTACTTTAGCAGTGGGACTAACTATAAACTTTTAATGAGAGTATAATACTTTTTGTAATTATGCACATTTTGGGGGCAAGCATGTATCAAGGTAATTTAGGGTATTATGTAAGAAAGAAAATATGAAAGACAATATGTCACCAAACCTATAGGAAAGTGAGGAGATGAAGTAAGCAGAAACAGCAGACAGAATCTTCTGAATTGCTGCTTACTTCTCAACAGGAAGGCATTTATAGGAAAGGAAGGCATTTCCTTTTGAAAGTAAGAAAATTTAACTCTCCATTTTTTTCCTAGCCATAGTTTGATTTTTGATGTTGTAGTAATTGTGGCAGCAGTGAGACCCTAGTCACCAGAGTATATTTGCTTCTACACTTTGCCTTCATAGTTTGCACATAGCTGTCCAATTTCACTAGCCTCCTTCTAGGCCCAATACAGTATTCATTCCCTAATGAATTAGTACTCCCTGTACAAACAGTAAGAAAAACATAAGCCCAGAACCCTTGTTGGAACAAAACATCTCAAATTTTATTTATGCATGTCTCCTTCCAAAATGAATTTCAATTGTGATGTCATTATATACATGTATACAATAAAGTTCTGGAACAGAAAATCAAGATACTAAAGGGGAGGAGAAAATAAATTTGCTAATTATTAAAACATTAAATTTAACTCTGAGCTTCCTAGTCATGAAGACAAAAATGAAGATACAGTGTGTTATGTAATAGACAAGTTCCAAAGAATCAGACTCTTTCCTGCTACTAAACTTTAAGAAGAATTCATTATATGGAACCTGTCCTAGAGAGCATTAAACTATAGTATCCTCAATAATAATTTTACAGTGCAAGTAGAAGTTCCTGTGTGTGACAATTTTTTAGCAAAGACCTTAATAAAAGCATTGTACTGAAGCATAACTCAGGGAAAAGTGAGTTTATATTGGATAAGTTAATGTAATCCAAGCATAAAGCTTTCTTGTTCTAACGTTGTATGACCATGGAACTTCATCTCCCTTGACATGTTTGTATAGCATGTTCCTTAGACTGTATTCTACAAAATATATTCTGACCCTACTGTGCCACTGACTACTGCTATGACAGTTGAATCATCTTTTCAAATTTATATCTGACAGTTGTACTAGTATTTTTGTAGCTTAGTTATTACATTTTTATCTTTGAGCTATGTGGAATTTGAGTTTGAGAAATAACATAAAGCCTAAGATCTCCCTCCCTCACCCAGAGACAGCATGCTGCTGGGAGTAGCAACAAAGAGAATCATGTCACAATGAGTGGTTGCAGTACTAGAAGTGATCTTCTATACCAGGCCTGAGACTTCCCTCCCCCATCAGAGATTCTGCTTGGCCAGAAGGCACCTGCAAGTGGGAATCCCACCATGACAAGCACTCAGCCTGGGAAGACTGTTCATCCTCCCCTACCTCCTAGACCCCCTCCTCATCCTACCACCCTAAGATTCCTCTCTCCCATCTCAAAACATCTTGAGACTAGGTGGCACTGACAAAGGAGGATCTCACCATAATAAGCACTTCGCTGGGAAGCACTTTTCATTTCCCCATGTATGTCTCCCTCCCCTCCCCCACAAAGCAGGGAAGCCAGCCACAAAAAATTGCCCAGCCCAGGAAGCACTCTTCATCCTATTGAGCCAGAGACTCCGTTTCCCCACCTTTAGGCACCAGACTTCCCTGCCTAGTGAAGTTTTTTCTTTCCTTCAGATAGCACCAACAGGGACCAGTGGGGATCCTAGTTGCTGGAGATTTATTGAGAAGACCAAGACAGTACTGCAAAAGCACTGAAAATTAGATTGCTGTTTGAACCATGGCCCACAAAAATAGGCAAAGATCTGCATACTAAACCTAAATGGGGTTACTGTCTACTAAAATAAACAAATTAAATAGGATACAGATCTCCCCTAGCTTGAAAACCAAAATGTCCAAGGTATAATAGAAAATTACTTGTCATACTGTAAATCAAGAAAATTACAATTTGAGAAAAGAATCAGTTGACACCAAGATGAATCAGGTGTTAGAATCATCTGATGATGACTTTAAAACAACTATCACAAATATGATTTAATTACAAATTTTCTTGAAACAAATGAAAAAATTGAAAATGACATCAAAGTAATAGAAGTTTTAAGCAAGAATCAAATGGAAATTATAGAACTGGCAAATACAACCATAACAATAACAACAAAAAACTCACTGGTTGGGCTCAATGCTGGAGAGTAGATAGATCAGTGAACTTGAGGATTTAAAGAATTCACCTTATCTGAAAACAGAAAATAGACTGAAACAAAATGAACAGAGCCCCAGGGATCTGTGGAAGAATGATAGAAGATCCAACATGTGTATCATTGGAGTCTCAGAGGAGAAGGAGAGTAAAGCTAAAAGAGTATTTAAAGAAACAATGCCTGAAAACTTCTGAAGTTTCATGAAAGACAAACCCATAGATTCAAGAAGCTGAGCAACCCCCAAATATTACAAACCCAAAGAAATCCACACCAAGATACATCATAATTAAACTTCAGAAAACTAAAAGCAAAAGGAAAAAAAAAAGTTGAAAATAAGAGAGAAATGACACATTACTTGTAGAAGAACACCATTTAAATAACATCAGATTTCACATCTGAAGCCATGGAGGCCAGAAGGAAGAAGTGCTAAAAGAAATGTCAGTCTATATCTGCCAATTCTCTATACTTGTAGAAGAACACCATTTAAATAACATCAGATTTCACATCTGAAGCCATGGAGGCCAGAAGGAAGAAGTGCTAAAAGAAATGTCAGTCTATATCTGCCAAAATTCTATATCTGCCAAAGTGATTCTTCAGTAATAAGGGGGAAATAGCCTTCCTCAGAAAGGAAAACTAAAATAATTTGTTGCTAGAACATACATTACCCTCTCTGAAGCCATGGAGGCCAGAAGGAAGAAGTGCTAAAAGAAATGTCAGTCTATATCTGCCAATTCTCTATCTGCCAAAGTGATTCTTCAGTAATAAGGGGGAAATAGCCTTCCTCAGAAAGGAAAACTAAAATAATTTGTTGCTAGAACATTACCCTTAAATATTGGCTGTAGAAAGTTATTCAAACAGAAAAGAAATGATAAAAGAAGGAATCTTGGAGCATCAGGAAGGGAGGAAAGAACAGAAGAAAGAGCAGACATATCAATAATATAATGGATTATGGTTTCCCTCATGACTTTTCTACATCACATGTGTTAATTGAAACAAAAATTATAAAACCTTCTGATACTCAAGACAATGATATTTTAAAGTGGAGGGGGAAAAAAGAGACCCATACGAAAGTGACTTTTTCACACCTTATTCAAATAAAGCATTGACAAATCATGGGTGAATATTAAAATCAATGAAGTTGAAAGCCAGTAGAGAAAATCAATGAAACAAAAATGGAGTTCATCAAAAAATTAATACTGTTGATAAACGTCTAGTAAGACTAACATTAAAAAGACCCCAGAAGATACAAATCACTAATATCAGGAATATAATGTGCACTCTGTAATCTAATCAGGAGAGTAATGAGTTTACTACAGAGTCAGTAGCAGTAAAAGAATTATAAAAGACAATTACAACTTTATGCTCATAAATTTGACAATTTAGAAGAAATGGACAAATTCTTCAAAAGCTAAAAACTACCAAAACTCAACCAAGACGAAGTAAACAATCTGAATAGTCCTATAAACATTAAAGACATTGAACGGGTAATTTAAAAGTGCCCAAAAGAGAAATAGCCAGGTCCAGATTGTTTCACTGGTGAAGTCTGCCAAACGTTTAAAGAGATTTAATACCAATTTTAACATCTCTTCCAGAAAACAGAAAAGGAGGGAACATTTCTAAGTTCATTTCATGAGGCTAATATTACCTGAATGCAAAAGCAGATAAAGACAGTACAAGAAAAAACTGTAGACCAATATTTTTCATAAACTTAAACTCAAAAATCCTCAAGGAAATATTAACAAATTGAATCCAACGTTGTGTGAAAAGTATTATACAACATGACCAAGACAACATTACTGTTTTCATGTTGCTTATATTTGGGAGTGTGGATGAAGGTGGGGAGAGACAACAAGTAAACAAGGAAATAAATATCAAAATGAAATTCAGAAATAATTGTCTTGAAGAAAATAAAACAAGGAAATGGGGGTTAGAAAGGAAGGAACCCTTTTAGGTTACATTTAAACTGATATGAGAAGGAGCCAGCCTTCTAGAGATCTCAAATCTCCTGAAAAGACACTATTAATACAGTGAAAAGGCAGCAAAGGAAACAATCAACAGAGTGATAAGACAACCTGCAGAATGGGAGAAAATATTTGCGAACTATGCATCTGACAAGAGATTCATATCCAGAATATACAAGGAACCCAAATCGCTTAGTAATAAAACAAATAATCCAATTAAAAATGGGCAAAGGAACTGAGCAGACATTTTTCAGAAGAAGATACAAATGGCCAACAGGTACATGAAAAAATCCTAACCATCATTAAGCATCAGGGAAATGCAAATCAAAACCACACTGAGATATTATCTCACCCCAGATAGACTGGCTGTAATAAAAAAGAGAGAGAATAACAAATGCTGGCAAGGATGTGGAGAAAGGGGAACCCTTCTACGCTGTTGGTAGGACTGTAAATTAGTATAGCCATTATGGAAAACAGTATTGAGGTTTCTCCAACAACTACAGATAGAACTACCATATGATTCAGCAATTCATCGTGTTGAAGGTATACCTTTACTCCCATGTTTATCATAGCTCTATTTACAATAGCCAAGTTATGGAATGAACCTAAATGTCCATCGATAGAAGACTAGATAAGGAAAATGTGGTGTGTATACACAATGGGGTACTAACTCAGCCATAAAAAAGAATGAAACTGCCATTCATAGCAACATGGATGAATCTAGAGAAAATTATGTTAAGTGAAATAAGCCAGGCACAGAAAGAGAAATTCCACTTGTCCTCATTCATAAGTGGGAGTGAAGTAAGGGAGGGAGGGAGGGAGGAAGGAAGGAAGAATTATGTTAAGTGAAATAAGCCAGGCACAGAAAGAGAAATTCCACTTGTCCTCATTCATAAGCGGGAGTGAAGTAAGGGAGGGAGGGAGGGAGGAAGGAAGGAAGAAAGAAAGGAACGAAGGACGATTACAATAATACATTGAACTTTCAGAAGGGAAGAACAGAACTGTGGTTACTAGAGATGGGAAAGGGGGAGGAGGGGGAGTGAGAATTTGGTTAATATACACACAGAATGATTACATATTGTAATGATGAATATGCTAATTATCCTGATTTGATCATCACATATAATACAAAAGTATTGATAGTCAACTCTGTACCCCACAAATATAGATTATCAAACAGGTTTTAATAAAATAATTTTGAACTGGGAAAAGCTAAAAAGAGTAAAATAGCTTTATCGAGGTATAATTGACATACAATAAACTATACATATTTAAAGTGTAAAAAATAAAAATAAGGGCCGGCCCGGTGGCGCATTGGATAGTGTGCCGCTTGGGAGCGCAGTGGCGCTCCCGCCGAGGGTTCGGATCCCATGTGGAGACCGGTTCCCGCTCACTGGCTGAGCGCGGAGCGGGCGCAGCACCGAGGGTTGCGATCCCGTTGCTGGTCCCTGGTACAGGCACGACACCGAGGGTTGCGATCCCGTTACCGGTCAGTAAAAAAAAAGACAAAAAGGAAAAAAAAAATAAAAAATAAAAATAAAAATAATAAATAAAGTGGAAAGGTTAGCTACAGATTTGGCGGGACTTGGAGGAAATATTTACAATTCATATATCTGACAAAGGACTCATAGCCAGAAGAACTAGCTATGAAGATCTCTTACAAATCAGTAAAAAAGAACCAAATTCAAAAAGAGACAAAAGATTTGGGGAGGGATTTCACAAAAGAAGATATCTAAATGGTCAATCAGCATATGAAAAACTGCTTCATATCATCACTTATCAGAGAAGTGAAAATTACAACTACAATGAGGTACTGTTGTGTACTGTATTAGTCTGTTTCTGTTGCTTGTAACAGAATACCTGAAACTGGGTAACTTATAAAGGAATGAAATTTATTTCTTACAGTTTTGGAGGCTGGGAGGTCCAGAGTGCAGGGAACATATCTGGTGAGGGTCTTCTATGTGGTGACTCTCTATAGCAACTCAGGATGTTGCATCATGAGAGAAATGGCATGAGCAAGAGTGCTAACATTCTCACTTGCTCTCCTTGTAAAGCCATCAGAACCACACCCATGATAACTCATTACTTCATGAATGGATTAATCACCTCTCAAAGGCCCCACCTTTTAGTTACCATAGTCAGATTTCCCACCTTCTTAACACTGTTACAGTGGGGATCAAGCTTCAGTGAATTTGGGGGTGGGGGGACATTCAATCCACAGCATGCATCCATCACTGTAGGTAAAACTCAGATGACTCATATACCAAGTGTGTGTGCCAAGGTTGGGGAAGATATGAAGCATCTGTGACTCTCCTATATTGCTGGTAGGATTGTAAAACCACTTTGAAAACTGGAGGTTTTTAATGAAGTTGAACTTAGCCCTATCCAACGAGTCAGTGGTTTCCCTCCTAACGTTCTACCCAAGAGAAATGTGTGCATATATACAGAAAAAGACATGCAGAAGAATTTTCATAACAGCTTTATTCATAATATCCAAAAACTGAAAACCTAAATATCCATAAACAGAAAGTGGTGAATCAACTTGTGGTTTATTTATTCAATGGACTATCATAGCACTAGAGAAGAATGAACTACAGGTTCATTTAATAGCATGAAAGAATATCAAAAACATGTTGATGAAAGTAGGCAGATACAAAAAAGTACATGCTGAGTGAATCCATATATGTGAAGTTCAAGAACAGACAAAAATCTTTGGCAGTAGAAGTCAAAATGGTGGGTATTGATTGGAAAAGAACACAGGAGAACATTTATGGGGATGGAAATGTTATATATTTTTATCTCAGTGGTGAATGCACAGGTTATATACATGCTGAAATTCATCTAGCTGTGCATTTTTCTATATGTAAATTATGTATTAAACCAAGAAAGATCTGGGTGAAGAAAATACCAGAGGAAACAGTTAGTGCAAAGAACTTAGGATGAAAATGGATTTGATGTGGTCAAATAATAGAAAGCAAGCCAGTGTGTCTAAATAGGGAGAATGAGGGAGTAGGCTAGAAATTATCAGTTATCTTAATATAGCAGTGCACTAAGATGATATTAAATGGAAATGTGTGTTAACTGAGTATATTATTCACTTAGGTGAACAAAATGTTTTAATTCAAAAAATTCTATTTGACATTTGTATTAAGTACTAGAAAAATATTGACGTTGGCTCTGCCATTAAATAGCTGATAACTTTTGGCCTTTCTGGACCTTTGTTTCCTCGTTTGTTAAATTATGAAGTTTATCTAAATGGTAGGTAAAGACCATAATTTTGTGTCTTTCCAACCATAATTTCGTGACCGGCAACGGATCGCAACCCTCAGTGTCACTCCCGTACCGGACCGGGACCGGCAACGGGATCGCAACCCTCGGTGCTGCACCCGCACCTCGCTCAGCCAGTGAGCGGCTGGTCTGTATGTGGGATCCGAACCCTCGGCGGGAGCGTCGCCGCGCTCCCAAGTGGCGCACTGTAGCAGTGCGCCACCGGGCCAACCCTATAACACCATTCTTTACCCAGCTGAGCTAACCAGCCAGTCCCAAAGTTTATTAAATTTATTTATTTAATATATATATATATTATTTATTTAACCTATCTATTCATTTCTGTTTTATTTTCAGAACTGAAGGCAGAAGCTAGTCTAATGGACCAGATGAGTAGTTGTGATAGTTCTTCAGATTCCAAAAGTTCATCAGCTTCAAGTAGTGAGGATAGTTCTACTGACTCAGAAGATGAAGAGTGCAGATCCTCTCCTTCTGATCCAGGGAATTGTGTCTCAGGACATCCTACCATGTCCTCCATGCCACAATACAGGATTCCTGATACAGGTGTTGGTCATTATAGATTTCAGGACAACAGTGGCCTTCTGATGAATACTTTAAGTAAGTATATATAAACATGAGTCATTGGAAAAGTAAGAATCTACAATGGAGCCATATTGATTATGATTTAAAATTTGGGTAAAGAGAAAGACTCCTATTTTTATGTATTTGACACTATTCATCATTACCTTTTTCTTGAATTATTCATTTTCTTTTTTTTTTTTGTCTTTTTGTCTTTTTCCGTGTCCGGCAACGGATCGCAACCCTCAGTGTTGCTCCCGCGCCTCGCTCAGCCAGTGAGCGGGAACCGGTCTGTATATGGGATCCGAACCCTCGGGCGGGAGCGCCGCCGTGCTTCCCAAGCGGCGCACTATCCAGTGCGCCACCGGGCCGGCCCGAATTATTCATTTTCTTTTGACATAATGCTTTCTTGGTTTTTGACACTCTGACATAGTACCTTCTTGGTTTTTCTCTTATATCTCTAGATACTCTTCTCTCTCTTTCCTTTGCAGCTTAATAATCTGTTCAGTTAATAGAGTTGGAGTTCCTCAGACATATTCCTGGGTCTTTTATTCTCTTTATTCTCTACATTTTCTCTCGATAATCTCGTCCATGTTTCTGTTGCAGTCAATACTTATGCATAGATAATTTGCAGATTTATATTTCTGATTCAGACCTCTAACCCAGACCTCTCAGCTCTAGACACATATGTTCAACATCATCTCCTAGTAAAAGGCACTTCAAATTCGCTTTGTCCAAAACCAACTCATAATCTTTGGTTCACTGTGTTTTCTCTTAGTGAAAGGCAGCATTCATCTAACTGTGCAAACCAGAAGCCTAATTGCATTCACTGGTTGAGTTCCTCTCCCTCTTTATAGTGTAGCCAATCCTTCACCAAGTCCTGTTGATTTTTGCTCCTAAATATTTCTCAAATTCATCTACTTCTCTGCATCTCCACCACTATCATCCTAGTTCAACTTACAGTTATTTATTGCTTTAACTCTTCCAGTGACCTGACTTTTTCACTCCTTATCTATTCAAGCCCTTTTTTGATCCATTATGTGCATTGTAGTCATATTGATTTTTTCCATAATTTAAATATAATTTGTCACCTCTCCTGCTTTAAACTTTTCAATAGCTTGTAATTTCTTTCAGGATAGAGATGAAATAACTTAACATAATGGTCTTGCTCTTTTCTTTTATAGGAACACTTGCCTTCTTTTTGCCACTATACTCAAATACTTTTCATCTACCTCATGGTTCTTATACATGCTATGCTTTTAGCCAGAAACACTTCCTTATTTCCAGGTACTTAATTTTTCTTCTTTAGATTGCAGTTCAAAGTTTACTTTCTCATGGAAGCCTTTCTTCACCTTCCTGAAAAAATCATATTCTCCTTTTTGTAGACCCTTAGAGAATCAGATATGTCTTCTTTACATTAATTGTGATAATTGTAAATTTACATTTATTTTTGTGGTTTGCTTTTTTTATTCTAGAGTATAAGCTCCATGAGGACAGGGGATCTTTTTTATTTTGTTTATCATTGAACACTAGCATGTAGTGAAGTACCAGATGCATAGTAGATGCTCGATAAGTATTTTTTAGGAAAGGCATGCAGATTAATACTCCCTGGGGAAAATGGGATTTTCTGTATGTTACTGTGTTAATTAGTCAGTAAGCATCTAGGAAAGATTGACTAGCTCCAGTCTAATAACAGGACTAAATTCAGATGGGAGGAGACAAGATTGAGTAGCAGAGAATTAGAGTAAAACTACAAGGAAAGATCTTTTGAACTTCCAGCTATTTAGTGTTGTTATTCCTTACTTGGGCAGTAAAGTTGGAACAGCTGATTTCTTGAATGGCCAGGGGAACATGGAGAAAACTCGGTTTGATTGGATTGAATGAGATGCTGAGTAAAAGGATCATTTTGTCAGAAAATACTGAGTTGTATAGTAAATTGAGCACATGACTAGGAATCAGAATATCTATATTATATGTCTGACTTCCTTATTAGTTATGTAATCAATAACAATTCACTTAACTTTCCTGGAGCTTCAGTTTCCTCATTGAAAGTGGAGGTCATATTGCCTTGTAGAATTTTGAAGAAGTTCTGGTGATTTTATGTTTCAGAATTTCCTAAACTCTAAGAGTAGTTTTCTGGTACAGTAGGCACAGTGAATTTATGTTTTAAAAACTTCCTCTATGCCAAACACATAGAAACAATGGATGAAGTATAAAAAGATAAAAACCAGACATGGCCAAGATCAAATATAAGATAAATATCTCCATAGACAAGAACTGGAACACAAACACAAAACAGTGGACTTAGTGGAGCTGAAGCCATTGGCTCTGAGTTCAAAAGGAGGTGGTAGTGTTAAGAAGCTTAATACTTTCAGGAAAAGGTAGCTTACAGGTGTTTGATACAATTTTGGGAACCTGAGTCATGCCTTCTATTTGAAGCCAGAGAATGTAGATTGGGGGAAAGGAGAAGGATTTGGAAGGATTGGTGGAGATGAAGATATTCTTCAGTTAATAAAAGGAGACTCTGGGGGCTGGCTGGTTAGCTCACTTGGTTACAGCGTGGTGCTAATAACAACAAGGTCAAGGGTTCAGATCTCCATACCAGCCAGCTTCCAAAAAATAAGAATAAAAAAAAAATTAAAGGAGACTGGAAAAAATGGCTGTTTACATACTGACTGAGGCTATAATTTTTTAGAAGGTATAGGTATAGGGTCTGTAGAGCCTTGCTACCCATTGGCTCCTTGAAGGGATCAGCCATATCTTTAATATACCCAGAGGGTAGCAATCTCTAAATGTGATTATGAAACTTGTTTCTGATAAGGGGCTCAGAGGACTACACTAGGTAAAGGGAACCAAAAAGCCCTGTCAGAGTGGTGTGAAGATAAATAGAAAAATAGAAACTTCCCACTCAAAATAAGCAAACAGGACTGGCCAGTTAGTTCATGTGGTTAGAGCCTCATAACACCAAGGTCATGGGCTCAGATCCCCAAACCAGCCAGCTGACAGAAATAAAAATAAAACAAATAATAAGGAAACATAATTCTAAAACATCAGAATAAAGTCTAATGCTATGAATGTCAGCCGGCAAAATTAACAGTTGGAACAGAGATTCTTTCCAAATGAAAATCTTTTTTACAGAACAGCTAAAGACAAAGACATTTAAAGAAGTATGCTGAAAATCTTCAAAGAGCTAAATGAAGAAATAACTTTAAAAATAAGTATAAAACAAAGCCAAGCAGAAATGGAACAAAATCTAATAGATTTTTAAAAATTATCAGTTAGAAAGCCTAGTCATTGAATTGTTTTAAAAAAATCAGTAAATGGGAAACACTATAGACTGGAGACAGCTAAAGAATGAATTAGTGAAATGAAAGATAATACTGAGGAACTATCCCAGAACACAACACAAGAGACAGAAAAATAAAATGAGAGAGCAATTCGTGGATGAGGATAGGGAGAGAAGATTAAACATTTTGCAATAGGAATTCCAGGAAAGAATGGAAGGGATAGTATGAAAACTCAATTCTGAGAGTGTTCTGGAAATGAGGAAAGCTATGAATCTTTACTCCAGCTAATAAGCAGGATAAGTAAAAATAAATCTAGACCTCAGCACACAATAGTGAAACTACAGAACATCAAGGATGAAATGACAACCTTAAAAACTACAGAGAAAAAGAGTACCTACAAAGGAAGAACAGACTGACAGCAGACGCTCCTTAGCTAAATGGATACACCTGAAGATGGGGGAGACCTATCTTCAAAGTGTGGAAGGAAAGTAATTCTAGCTAGAGTTTTATACCTAGCTACAGCGTCATTCAAGGGTAAAATGCTTTTCAAGCACACAAACAAAGAGAGTTTACTGTCTATAGAACTTAGTAAATGTGCTTTTAAAGGGTATTCTTCAGCAGAGAGAAAAGTGAAAATAGAAGCAAAGTGTGGGATATGAGAAACAGTAGAGAACAAAGAAATAGATAAAATGTCAGGAAATCTGACTAACCGTTGACCATAAAGCTAACAAGTCAGTTTTGCAATTTGGGCATTTGAAAATTTTTAAGAAGATTAAGGCTAAAACTCCAAATAAATAGTTGCTGAGTGAGAGAGAGAGTATTGAAATGGGTAATTTAAGTGTGCCAAAAACCATGTGATATATAGGAGGAGAATAGAAACATTGAATAGTTATCATCTTTGTTAGATAACTTTGTAGTTAATTATATATCCTAAAATTTTAAGAGTACCATTTAATGAATAAAAATATAATGCACAGCTTCCACATCATCAGTGGGAAAAATAGGGAATATAGAAAACTTTTATCTAATGGAAAGCAAAGGAGAAATGAAAGAAGCGAAGAGATTGATAAACAAAGTAGTAAATATGAAGTGGAAATAAATCCTGATATATCAGCAAACACAAATGCAAAAGGATTAAATCTACCTACTAAAAAACAATTATCAGATTGGATATTTTTTAAAAAGCTATATGCTAATTATAACAAATGTGTCTAAAATAAAACCATATAGATGGAAGATAAAAGGATGGAATAGGAGATGCTAGATAGATGCTAGAGAAGTATGAATCAAAATAAAATCTGATATATTAGAAATAATACTTTAAGGAAAAATGTATTCCTAGAGATAGAGGGTTGCTAAATAAAGACAGAAGTTTCAGTTCATCAGGAGGATAAACAATTCTGAATTTGTATGCATTTAATAGCATATCTTCACCATGTATGCATGTATGTATGGATATACATATGAAAATATGTAGTTATATATGTGTATGTGTATACAACAAAATTTGATAAAAGTAGGAGAAATCAGCAAGTTTCTATCATAGTGGGCGATTTAATGCATCAGTAATCAAGCAGACAAAATTTAGTAAGGGTATAAAGTCTTTCAATACATAATTAACATACCTGTTCTGATAGTAAATACATAGATTCTTACAACCCAAAAATGCAAAACAAGCATTCTTTTAAGGTGCATATGAGGGCTGGCCCGTGGCTCACTCGGGAGAGTGCGGTGCTGATAACACCAAGGCCACGGGTTCAGATCCCATATAGGGATGGCCAGTTAGCTCACTAGGTGAGCGTGGTGCTGACAACACCAAGTCAAGGGTTAAGATCCCCTTACCGGTCATCTTTTAAAAAAAAAAAAAAAGATGCATATGAAACATTACAGAACTTTACCTCCTACTAGGACAAAAGAAATAAAAAATTTCAAAGAATTCATGTTTTACTGACCATATTATGACTATAATACAATGAAAACATAAATAATAAAAAACTGGTTTAAAATATGTAAGTGTTTTTGTTTGTTTTTGGTATCTGGCTGGTACAGGGATCGAACCCTGGGCCTTGGTGTTATCGCACCGTGCTGTAACCAACTCAACTAATCTGCTGGCCCCATAATTTTAGAAATTGCACAGCACATGCCTAATAACTGATATGTTATAAGGAAACTACAGTGAAACTACAAAATTTTTGTAATTGAACAATATAAAAAACTATATCACAGCAATTTTGGGATGCAGTCAAAATGGTACATATAGGGAAATTTATAGCCTCAAAATGTTATTTTAAAAAAATAAATAAATAAATGAGTGAAAGCTCATCTAGAGAAACTGGAAGAACAGTAACATGTTAAACTTAAAGCAGAAAGAAGAAATTAATAAAGATAAGAATAGAAATTAATGTAGATTACAAAGAAACATTAAATTAACAAAACTAAAAATTGTTTCTTTGAAAACTAATAAAACAGACCAACCTTTAACAAGGGCTGATGAAGAAAAAAAAGGCACAAATAAACAAAATTAGGAATGAAAAAGAGGTTAAAATTATAGCAAAAAATATAGTTTTTATTGAGTTATTAGAATTTTACAAAAATTTTATTTTCATTACAAATTTCAGTAAATTTGGCATAGAAATGGATGATTTTTTTGGAGAAAGTATAATTTACCAAATCTGACTCAAAGAGTAAATAAATAGGACAGCATGAATAAACCATTAACAATTAAATTTTTTTTGTTATTCTTTTATCAGTCTAAACAGAGAATTTTATTTATCTGTAAAATTTTATCATTACACAATGTAAACATTTTTTGTGGCCCTTTACCAATTTCTCCCTAACCTCCCCTCCCTCTCCCCTTTTCCCACCTCTGGTGGTGTCAGTTCCATTCTCTCCTTTAAAAAGTTTAAGGAATTAACAATTAAATAATTGAAACCAATCAACATCTCCTCTTCCTCCACTCTCCTATCCCCAAGATATAGAAAAATGAAGATAGTTTTGCAGATGAATTTTAACAAATCTTCAAGAACAAATAATTCTTATCATCTATAAAGTATTTCAGAGAACTGTTTAATTGTTTCATAATTCTAGGATAACCTCAGTAAAAACTAAACAAGAATAAGAGAAAAAACATTGTAGACCAATTTCACTTAAGAATATGAATGCAGGCTGGCCAGTTAGTTCAATTGGTTAGAGTATGGTGTTATACCACCAAGGTCAAGGGTTCGGAACCCCATACCAGCCAGCTGCCCCCGCCAAAAAAGAATATGAATGCAGAATTCCTAAATAAGATATTAACAACCCCGCCAAAAAAGAATATGAATGCAGAATTCCTAAATAAGATATTAACAAATTAAATAACCAGTATACTTGAAACAAGCTAAATTATGACCAAATAAGGATCATTACAGAAATATAGGAAATGTTCATCAAGGCTGGCCAGACAGCTCAGTTGGTGAGAGCATGGTGTTATAACACCGAGGTCAAGGGTTCTGATCCCCACACTGGCCAGCTGCCGAAAACAAAAACAAAGCAAAACAAAAAACCCAGAAATGTTCATCATATGAAGTGGCATCAATGTAATTCACCACATTAACAGATTATAGAAGTAAAACCAAATGACCGTTTCAACAAATTAAGAACAATTATTTGATAAAATTCAGTATTTATTAATTAAACACTTTTATCAAAGATTGAATATAAGAGGATTTTCTTAACTTCCTAAAAGTTAATAACAAAAAGAATTGTGGCAATCACTAATAGAGACTTTAGAAGCATTCCGCATTAAAGTCAGGAACAGGACAAAGGTGACTAATATCATGACTTCTGTTCAGCACTCTGCTGAAGTTTCTAGCAAAAACAATAAAACAAGTAAAGAAATATGACGTAAGAGTTAGAAAGAAGAAATAAAATACTCCTTAGCTGTAGATAATTGTCTGCATAGAAAATCTAAGAGGGCTGGCCCATTAGCTCAGTTGGTTAGAGAGTGATGTTACAAAACCTGGGACAAGGATTTGGATCCTTATACTGGCCATTACATTTCAAACAAAATCCAGTTTATACCATGACCTTCTGGATATCTTTGTGCCCTTTCCAGCCATTCTCTTCCTTATTTATTGTTCTCCAGCCATAGTGGCCTTCTTGCAAGTCAGAGAACACAACAAGCATGCTCCTGCCTTGGACATTTTCACTTGTTTCTTTAGCTTGGACGCTTCTCCCCAATACCCTCCATTTTTTCATGATATTGTCTCTACATTTGGATCTCTGTTCATATGTCACCCCTCAAGAAGGCCTTCCCAACTACCATACCTAAAACAGCACCTTCCACCACTCTCTCCATGCCTACATCTTCATTTTTTCATAGCACTTATCCATACTTGGCATTATATTATCTATTCATTTGTTTACTGTCTGTCTCCCCAATTGGGATGTAAGCTCCATGACTGTGAACACATGGATGAATTACAAAGGAATCAATGATGTTACTCTTGACATGTATTGCTTAATGATTTTGACTGCATTTTAAATAAAAAATTATATAGCATTTTTTTCACTCTTCAGAGTGATACAGTCTGATCTTCTAAACCACACTTCATTTCCTGATGTAATAAATAAGTGGTGTTAAAAAGAAGTGTGATGTTGGTATGTAAAAGAAGACTAAAATAGATGTCAGGTAATACTAAAACTATGTTGAAGTTTGATGGTATATTTTTTCTTTGTGGGCAGTATCAATTATTTGCATTACTAATTATGTGACTGAATTACAGGATAAGCAATCCGGTTACTAATTACAAAATGTTACCTAAACAGAATCACTTTTGGGGTTATATTTTGCATAATATTCATGTTATGCAAAAATAAATATATTAAATATTTAATACAGTTTTGTTACTTTTTTATTTTAGGAAATGATTTGCAGCTGAGTGAATCAGGAAGTGACAGTGATGACTGAAGAAATATTTAGCTATAAACATAAAATTTACAAGGCATGTGTTAATTTATTTTGTATTAAGAATAAAATTCCTAAGACTGAGGAAAATGTGTCTTAACTTTTGATGATAATAGAAAGTATTTTTATTCATAATTTTCAATTGATGATATATTTCTGACCTTTTATTACCAGCATTTTCATGTGTTATCTTCATTTAATCATAAAACCTTTATGAAGTTTGATAAATGAAAAAACAGACTCAGAGGTTAGGTAACTTGCCCCATGTATTGCTAGTTAACAAATGGCAGATCAGGTGTTCTAGAGTCTAAGTTCAGTGCTCTGTTTTACCACACTGCTGTATCCAGTTGTGAAATGTCAAAACTATTGATTTATAATAAATGTCCATGGTTTTAATTATATCTGTGAGTCTTTTCTGTCTAATATTCCTTAAATTGTGGTTTGAAAATATTTTAATTCTTCACACAATTAAGCTATAATTTAGCATAAAGGTGAAGTTAAATAATTATTTTAATGAAACAACTTATCTCTTGCAATATTTTTCATTAATCTATTTTGCTTTTGATAGAAAAATATGCAGTTAAGTGTTAAGGAGATAAATAATCTTTATATTCATAGTATCTTTGAGTTTGGGAACAATAATAAATATTAGATTATAGTTGAAAGCCACTGACCAGCAAGTTCCTTTTTTTAATAAACTATTTTTTAGAGCGGCTTTAGGTTCACTGCAAAATTGAGCAGAAAGCCCAGAGAGTTCCTATGTCTTTTGTCCCTATTATCAGTAGTCCACACCAGAGTGGAATATTTGTTACAATCAATGAACCTACATTGACAAATCTTTATCAACCAGAGTCCATAGTTTATATTTGGATTTACTCTTGATGTGTGTTCTGTGGGGTGTTGTTTTTGTTTTTGCTTTTTTAGCAGCTGGCCGGTACAGGGATCTGAACCCTTGACCTTGGTGTTTCCAACACCACACTCTAACCAAGTAAGCTAACCAGCTAGCCCTAGGGTTTTTGACAAATGTATAATATAGCATTTATCCATCATTGTAGTAACATACAGAATAGTTTCACTGCCCTAAAAATCCTGTGCTCTGCCTATTCATCCCTTCCTCCCTTCTAACCTCTGGGAACCACCAACTTTTTTACTATCTCCATAGTTTTGCTTTTTCCTGAATGCCATATAGTTGCAATCATACAGTATGTAGCCTTTTTAGATTGGCTTCTTTCACTTAATAATATGTATTTGTTTTCCTCCATGTCTTTCATGGCTTGGTAGCTCATTTCTTTTTAAGATATTATTCCATTGTTTGGATGTACCACAGTTTACTTATCCACTTACCTACTGAAGGACATCTTGGTTACTTCCAAATTTTGGCAATTACGAAAAATGTTTTTATTCAATTTCACCTCTTACCATTGGAATTTTCATAGTTACGTTTTTTAAAAAATTCATTAAGTTTTGGTTTTAATCTCCTGATTTCTTTCTCTCTTCTTTTCCCTCTCTAGCTAGCCTACCTTCAGTTAATCTGTTTTCATTTTATTTATATTTTATTCATCAGTACTTAGCTGAGAACTACAACTATGTTATTTGTTACTTAACTAAAGCAAGTTTATACATTTAAAGTAGCTAGTAAAACATGCATGTCATTTTAACATAATAATATACATTATAATGGCTTTTACTGAAAGTTGTTATGCTGAAATTTCTTTTATTAGTGTTGACTACTAGAAATGAGTACATGGTGATATGAGCTGGTCATCTGGCTACATAACATGCATTGTGTTCCCAAACTTCCCTTCCTGCAAACCAACAGCTTATCTTTTCCCCTCCTCATTATTTCCCCCGTAAACGACACATTCTTAAAGACCTTTTTTATGGACTGAAAACCTTGCCTATCATTCTCTATATACCCCTGAAGGTTTTATATAAGTAGCTTAGAGAGGAATGAAATATCTTCTCTGCTTCTGTATCTCCTTATTTGGTACATTGTCGGAGACCAAAATGCCAGGAGCTTGCAGATTAGACAAGTTCTCAGATATGAGGTTCTCTGCCAGAAACATCTGATGATTCTGACATGATTCTAAGTACATACCCTTTTAGTTTGATAGTCTATTCTGAATGGTTTGATTAAATTCATGATAATAGCATGCAACCAGGAAAAATTAGTTGGCTACAAAGGAACAAAAATCGAAGGGCTTTGAACTATTTCACGATACTAAAACTCTAGAGGTAATAAAGCTGTTTCTGTACAAGAATATGAGTGTGACCTATGAATTATGTATTCATCAAATGTCATCCATACTTTGGTCAGAAGGTATTCTTAGGTCAGAATTCTGGAATTATATCATTCATATACCATTACTATAGTAAT